GAAAAAAAAAAGGAGGGAGGAAAAAGGAGAAAGGAGAGAAAACATTGAACATTTTACATACTTTAGCCTATTGGATCTCAGGTCTCTGTCCACAAAGATTCTGTCCTATGTGTGGGTATGTTTGTTTGTGTTGAATATGTGATGTGTGTGTGTATGTGTGGTTTCTTTTATGGGGAGAATAGCTCTGTAACTATTATTCAAGCTAGAAAAGAAAAAGCAGTGAGAATGTGGAGCCAGTAACACACAAGACAGCCACTGGGCAGGGGCAAGCCGCTTCCTTGTCGAAGCACCAAACACGCGTGCGTGTGCACACAGGAATGTGTGTGCACCTGAACACACATGTGTATATGCATTTTTTAAGATTATAAATAAATTACTTGCTTGTATAGAAACTTGGAATAAAAAACCTGGAAAAGAGAAAAGGAAGAAAAATAAAAAACAAACATAATCTTATTGCTCAGATCATTTCTAGTCTGTTTTCTATTTCTATGCATAATGCACATTATTTTATATAGCCGAGAGTTTATATTGCATATTAAAGTTTATTAGCTTGCTTTTTTCACTCTTAAAATTATGTCGCAGACATATCCAAATGACATAAAAAAACTCTTTGTAACCATCATTTTAATAGTTCCATTATATCCATAGTGTTGATTTTCATAATTTACTTAACCAACCTTCAATCTTTGAGCATTTAGAATAATAGAAGTCCTTCACTTTTATAAGTAATATGATAATAAACATCTTTGTGCATAGACCATTGCACTTAGTGTTATTCCTTTAGGATGTTTCCAAAAATGGAATTGCTGGACAAAGAGTAAAAGCACCTTTTGCATGCATGAGTTATATGTTGTTAAGTGGCTTTCCTAAGGGCGATCCTGCCTTATCTTCCCAATACCTTATATGACAGTGGGTACTAGCAAACTCACAGAAATTTTCAATTGGCTGTAGGCAGCTAAAATATCTAAAAGTACACAAAGGAGTTATTTTATTACATAACTTGCAAGTGTCAACAGGATATATCATTTGAGAATAACCAAAGGCACTGGCTGGAAAGGTGGTTGCCCTGGCCACACCACAACTCAGTCCTTCTAAGGGAAAGAAGAAGGTAACCCCTGGTTTGCTGCTGGATACAGCTCCAGGGTCTTTGTCCTTCCCGAAGCCTGTCTTTGATTCCAGGGCTGATTTACAGCATGTCCCACCAGCACCAGTGAAAGAAGGCGGCCACCTGCCCACCATACTGCTTGCCAGAGGAAGCAGTCCCTCCCCTCACTGTCACAGAGGTCCCCTGCCGAGCCCATGGGACCTCACTGTCCTTGATGCCCTGCCTCATTACAGAGTCTCCCTTGGTCTTCTTCAGTGTATCATCATCGCCTTTTCTCCCTTCCGTAACCAACTTCTTTTTCTGAAGCAAAAGGAAAGAATTATTCCTCTGAAGTACACTTTTATGTTTTACAACCGTGCTGTGTTGGACCATTAGATTTTTTTGTTTCTTTGTTTCCTTATTACTTATCATTATTATCATTTTCTCTTTGTTACACACACTTTCTCCTTGTAACTTCTGGAACTGATCCAGAGGGAGCTGGTCTGGCAGCCAAACTGGCATCTCCCACTGAACTTCTATGTCTTGGGGAGCTCTGGTCACAACTTTCCTGCTGCTTGGAGGGAACTTTTCACTCATTGCCTGGTGGGATAAGAGGAGGACACTAAGAGGCCACCTTTGTTTTCAACCTTAGGGATTTTAGATCCAGATTCAGTGGTCACCTCAAAATGCCGGTCAATTTTCCATGCCGTGAAGCTACTTGGTCCCCATGTGAATGGCTGCTTGAAGTTCGCCCAATGCCCCGTAGGCATCCTGACTTTGTAGTTTGTATAGAATAGAAGCCCGTTCTAGAAACATAAAATATACAGTGTGGTCCTAACATTAAAATCCAATCCCTTCCTCCTGAGAAACAGTAAAATACCCCTGTTGTTTCTCAGGGATTACCAACCTGATTCTCTGTCTTTTGCTAGTCCTCTGATATTTTCACTTCGATATCAGTTTGTTTCAAGTTGATTATTTTCTTAATACCAGGATTTTTTATATTAATTGCAATAAATTTGCCATCTCCATCTCTGAGCTTCAAATCTTTCTAAACTTTGCAGTATGTGAAAGGTTTCTGTACCTCCTCCTTCATTGGCCAGAAAAGAGCAACTTTCAAGGCTGAGTGAAACTTGAAAAGAATTTTCCTACTGTTCAAATGTTACAGATAGATGATCAATTACGAGTCATCACACCAGTCACTTCCCAGGGCTGCATCTGCCAGAGGATTTTCCCGTTTAACTGAACCAATTCTCAGGGAGACATGCTCTCCATCCCAGGCTTAAACACGGAACCTGGAGGGATGACAGTACAGCTGATGCAATGTCTTTTTTTGTTGTTGTTCTTTTGTTTTTGTTTTTTTGTCTTAGAAAGCCCATCATAGAAGGTAACCCATGTAAGTCTCTTGCTAAATTAAAGAGCCTGCGAGCAGACTTTAGAACTAAATTCAGTATATCTCTTTTAAATTTTTTCTTGTATGATAAATGTAATTCAGGTTTATTATAGAAAATTTAGAAAAGTGAATTCTCAAAAAAATAAAATAAAACCAATAAAAATTACCTGTAATTCACCAGAGATATCAAATTTCCTGCATATATTCTTTCAGGCATTTGAAAATATAAGGTCTATCTGGAAAAAAGTGCAGCCATTGTTAATATAATGAGAGTAATTTGAGCAATATCAAAGTAACACGGCAGCCAAGGATAATAGACTAGAATGCACATGAATGAACACTGATGACTTCACTGTACTAGTCAGTGGGTTGGTAGATGCCATTGAGTGAGCATGTGCTGTGTGTGGCTGTCACATTCAAAATGATCGAGCAAGTGAAGCAAAAAATTTGCATCAAATTTTGCATTAAGTTTGAACATTCCTCCATGAAAGTATTTGGATGATTCAGTAGATTTTCAGGGACAATGCAATGAGTGCAGTGCAAATAAAAATGTGACACAAATGCTCCAGAGATGGTCAAGAACCTATTGAAAATGATCCAGGTTCTGGAAAGACTACAACAAACTGAACACCTGAGAATGTTGAATGTACATGGGATGCAATCAACAAAGATCAGCAATGGGCAGCGTGAGGACTTGAGGTTGCTGGGAAGATTCCAAAAACTATTGTGTCTGAGATTTCGACACAGGACTTTGGCATGGAACGTGTCATGGCAAAATTTGTTCCATAGCTTCAGCTACCAGAGCAGAAGGAACATTGTGCTGCAGTTGCTAATGACTTGATTCAAACTGCTACCAATGAACCATACTTCCTCAAGAAGGTCATAACTGGAGATGAATCATGAGTCTATTGTATGATCCAGAAACAAAGGCCCAGTCATAGCAAGGAAAGTTGCTCGATTCTCCATACCCAAAGTCAGAGCAAGATCAAGACCATGTTAACTGTGTTTTTTTTTTAATTGGGAAGGTGTTGTTGATCATAAGTGTGCCCCCCAGGCCAAACAATTAATAAGGAGTACTTCCTTAATGTCCTTCATTAGTTGAGAGATGCAATATGACAAAAACAGCCACAGCTATGGGCAACTGGTGACTGGCAGCTTCACCATGACAGTGCACCCACTCATGAAGAACTTTTTAGTGAAACATCAAATTTCCCAAGTGACTCAGCCCCCTACAGCCCAGATTTGGAGCCCTGTGACTTCTGGATTTTCCCAAAACTAAAATGACCTTTGAAAGGGAAGAGATTTCAAATCATCAAGACTCAAGAAAACATGATGGAGCAGCTGATGGCCATTGCAATTAACGATTTTACAGAGTGTTTTTGAACAGTGGAGAGATGCTGAGAGAACTGTGTGAGGTCCCAAGGTACCTATTTTGAAGGGAACTATGGTGTCATTGTTCCATGTACAATGCTTCTTATATCTTGTATCTTCTGTAGAGGATCGGTTTGTTTAAGTCTGGCAAATGTGACTCAGCTCTGTATGAAAAACCTATAGAAGCAAAGTGGTGGGGAGGATCCAGACCTTCAAACCAAGTTTTCCTGTGGGAATCAGGCCTAGAAAATGCATATAGATTGTTATGGCTCGCTCTTGCTAAAACCCCATCACCCTGGTCTAAAACAACAAATGTGTACTGTCTATCTTCAAGGTAATATCCAAAGCCAGTATGAGTTCTCCCAAGGACAGAGCTAATCAGCCCATTGCCATTCCCCTCTGCATGTTATTTTCATTTTCTTGATTGTACCTAAAATGTAAACAATAATATTCTATGTGATGGATAATAAATCTTACTTTGCTGTAAGACCCCAAGAAAACAATAAGAGCCTGTCTAGGCAAGGGTCGGGGTGCTCCCCTCTTGAGGGAGTGGCCAAGGCACCATAGGCACTCTCCCCTTGAGAGAGTAGTTGTGCCTGTTCCCTTTTTCTCCACAGGATTGTTGTCACCTGTGCATTCATTCTCATTGTCAGCCACAACAGGCAGACTCTGCTGGACAGGGTCTGCCACAATCTTCTTCAATAAATGTCTCTATTTTTCATAGTACATAGCTGGATATTTTCTGGACAGACCTTCTTGTGTACGTGTGTATGTATTGAAGTGAAAATAGAATCCTACCATTTGGTAAAAAAAGGAGAGATGAGATGATAGAGAAGAAAGGAACCTTTCTCCAAACAGGTCGGTGCCCTCTCTTTCTGCTTAGGTCATGATTATTTATTTTCATCAAGGAAAGAGTCTCCTCTAGGTAGCATGACCGGTCTCGGGTAGCTCTGGGTTCTTGGGCAGGCAACAGTCAACAGTGACCTAATTCTGTGATGGGAAGTGGTCTAAAGGATTGCCTCACGTTGCAATGCCAGTTTTAACTTGCAAATACTCAACTGGACATGATTATGACTGTAAAAATGATGACCAGAAGCCCCAGTTAGGGCGGGGTTCCATCCTCTTAATCCACTGACATCGTTACCTCACCCACCATTTCTGTATGTTGAAACCTAAGACTGACAGAGCCTTTCTGGTATGTATTTTAGTTAATGTTGTCCTATGCTATCACCTTAGGCAATTTATAGGAATGGACTTGTTATCATTTCTACTTTGTAATCATTAAGCTCCATACTAAAAATTATATTCACAGCTATATGAGATACAACTTACCTTTATTTTAAAGACTAATATTTTTAGATGGTTTAAATCATGACACTCATAAAAATGTATAATGTCAAAGATTTTATTCAGCTCACTATTAATGAGAAAGCCAGTAAGATGTTACAACTGGTTCAAAGGAGAATCCAGATATATATGTACATGTATTGGTATTCATCAATATCAGGAATTCTGAAATAAATAGATGAAAAAACTTGTAAGTATCCATCCACAAGGCAATTATCAATTGCATTCAAATAGACACAATTTGTTTGCATTGCTATGGATAAGAATTATTTGCATATTACTAGTTTCTAAACTACAGAGTTGTAAAATTGCCCAAAGACAGTGAAAGATGGAGATGACCCTTAGACAAGACACCCAGTAATCTTTTTTCCATTTTAAAATCTTTCACATTCTTAATTGCAGTTTGTGCACCCTGTCTCAGCGGCAAGATTCTTTTCACTCTAGGTAAGTGCCATGGAGTAATATCGGTGAGAGCAAAGGAGGACACAATACCCAATGGGGAACCTCCCTTCGTGCTGACTTTATTGCCACACCCCCTAGACCATCAGCTGGTCCACAGCTATTTGGGGAGAAGAAATAGGAAGAGGTTGGTGTCACAGGTGAGTCCCCTCCCCTTAGTGGCAGTAACTCGTCTAGAAGTCACCTGGGTGCGGGAGACAGAAATCTGAAACTTATGCCGTCCAGTCCTCTTGTTCTAACATTCTCAGGGGTAGCATCTCTTTAACGAGGTGAAACTATAATGTCAGAGTGACTTTTGAGACTGAGCCAGAGGATGCACCCAGTTCATATAATTTTATTGCACAATTTTTACAAATGAAATAATTTAAACACTTTAAATGTTTAAATCCTTCCTGCCAGCATAAGCCTCACTGTGATTGCATCATCATCTAATTTTAACCACTACGTTAAAAGTATCTTCAAACAATCCTGCCAATGCTCAATTTAAACCATTTCTTCAAAATAACATGTTCATGGTACCCCTCAGCCAAACGAGTGGCTCCCAAAAGCCATCAGGGGTGAATGATGACATTTCTGGTCAGCGGCAGTAAGCCAGGCCTCATGAGGATGTCCTAGTTGGCCTGGTGACAGCAGCTGTCTTGCCTGGGGTGGAGTTCTCACAAAGTTCACTAAGTATTTGTTTTGGAGACACCTCAGATACTAACTAGTAGTCGTTTGCTCTAAAATAGTTTGACTGTAGCTTGTTTGAAATAGAACACTCTCCTTGTCTTCTTTGCCTCAACGGGAGTTCTTTGTCTTCAAGAAAAAGGTTCGGCAAAGAAGTCCTCTATTATTCTGACCCCAAGAAATCTATTTGTCTAGAATGATGTGGCTTCCCAGGAAAGTTAAGCAAGGACATGGGTGGGGTAGTAGATTGCTTCCCAGCAATTTGTGAGTCAGGTCAGTATTATTCCATTTCATCATTTTGTTGGAAGGGAATTCCCAGAACTCCAACTGCTTTCAGATGCTTAGATTACACAGAAATGCATTCCAAAGTGAAAAACAGTCACAGTTCTTTCTCTGCCCGTCTGCTTCTTACTATTCACTAATATAATTATGAAGTGTATGTTAGAATACACATTTTATCCCCTTGGATGTTGTCTGGTGTACATTCTTAAATCTGATTTGTTGGCTGAATAAGCCATATGACCATGGACAAGTTTCCTCTTGACCCTGGACATCACAGCCCTCATCTGCGCCCAGGGACAGAATGGTTCTTCAAGTCCTTCTGACTCCACATATACATTTGCAATTCTCCAAACTGAGTCTGAGTTTCTTTAGAAAGTTTGTCAAGAACACTGTGCCTGGCCAAGCCCTTGGAGGATGACGACATTGTACTTAATCCAATTTCCCAATTAAAATGAACTATTTTATGATTATTTATTTAGGGCCTGTCTCCCATTGCTAGAGGTTAAATTCCAAGAGGACAGGACCAGTATCTTTCTCCCTGAGCACTGTCATTCCAGCACCTAACATGGTGGCTGGTACATTCTAAGCACTCAGTGAGTATTTGTTGAACGAAGGATGAGGGACCCAGGAGCTGGATTCCTGCCTGCGCAGCACTGGCAATGAGGAAGCCTGACTAGGGAAGGGCTGGGCAAGTTTCCCTGCCTTCTCTGACCTCAAAGGCAGCAGAAACCTTTAGACAGCTCGACCACTGTCGGTAACCTCTTCTGACAGCTGATGTTGCAGAATCTGCAATCCACACTCCCTAAAACCGTCCTAGCTATGATTTCACATTCTGGGGTGGACAGAGCCATACAACAGCTGTGCAGCTCTATTCTTGTGAGGGCTCTGCCTGTAGAAATTCTGGATGGCCCAGGATTTAGACACCTGCCCTCACCTCTTCACGCGGGCCCAGGCTCTCAAGACCAACTTCTACTCCACTTGCGGTGCAAGACCCTCATCTCCCCAGCACAGGGTACTCTCAACCTCCTAATGCAGCTTAACAAATCAGAGCCACCAGCAGCAGTGAGCCCTGCCTGCTGTGGGGTTTTGCCCACCAGGAGGAAAGGGGGAACTTGAAAGGTAGGTGTGGTTAGACCAAGCTATGACCCAGAGACTGGTTATTTTTTAAGACTTTGCACAAAGGCAGCCCTGCCAGAAGCATCCTTTTTTTTTTTTTTCCTTTTAACTCTAAAGAACCAAATGTTCTGTAGACGCTGGTCGGTTACTACAAGTTACATAAAACGCAAGGTTTGAGCTTTATGTAAAGGGCAGGACTTGCTCCATACGCATCTGCGGGCAGTCGGTAGACATGCTGAAACTTCCTTCTAGGCTCAACTCAGAGCAGGGGGAGGAGCTGAGAGAAGGCCTAGAAAGGCTCCTCTCCCCTCTTCAACAGACAGAGAACTCTGCCCTCTCCAAATGAATGTGTCTCCTCACCAGCACACAAAGCAAGATATTTTTACCTAACCTCAAGTTAAATTTTAATAACAGTTTTAAGCTTAACATCTTCCTGTATGGTCTCCACAAGCATTTTGTTTTACTCTTGAAATCTGTCATCTCTATTAGAGGTTGCAAAATACAGTATTCAGAACCTGGAATTACAACAAGGAATTGAGTGGGAGCGAGAGTTCTGCTGGACTTTGGTGGGCTCACTCTTTGTCACAGGCCTTAAATGTTTCCTAAGACAAAACTATCTGATTAGTACGTGTGTTTTCCATAAACACTACCCACAGAATATGACCAAAGGCAGTATGCTCTTAAACAAAGAGGTCTTAGAATAAAAGTATTTTCTTTCTTCTTTTTGTTGAATCACTTCTTAGACTCACAGTCCTTAGCCTTGGGGGATATTTGACAATGTCAGCAGCCATTTGTCAATATCCAGCTGCTGAGACACATCTCCTGGATGAGATGAAAATAAACAAAATGCATGTTTTGCAAACTGTCAAACAGATGACTTGTGATTATAATATGTATCTGAAATTTGCATTAAAATTTTTTAGCCAGAACCTACAGAGATTTTAAGTGCATGTGTATGCACACACTCATGCTTCTGCAAACTCTGAACAGGAGGGGGGAGGGCAAAAGGAGAAGTAATGGCCAAAAGTGTTTTCTTGCAACGATAAGCAACAGACATGGAGATGATTTGGTCTGGGAAGCCTTACTGCACTTCCGAGAAGTCATTTGTTTATTGCTAAGTGATTTGCATACTGCTAGGGCAACCGGTCCCTGCACTGTTGTTCTCCAGGCCTCTCTTCTGCCTTCTTCCCAGGAGGAGGATGGAAATCATTAAGGGAGCAAGGAAACACCAAGAACAAAAGACTTGGCGGCAGTAGCAAGTGCTCAAAGTCACCTCTTTCTTTTAAGCATATAAGATTCTGGGGACAGATCTGCCCTGACAGTTTCTGAAGAGAAGAGTCAGACATTATTTTCTCTTTCCTGGAAGGGAAACCATTTGAGGGATTATGAACGTTACTCTGTGTCTCGGTCTGAAGTTTAAATCTTCTCAAGCATGTAGTTATTAAGATGCCAAGTTGCCTCACTTAATTACAACCTTCATTACGGTATTGAATACTTTAAATGCACGATTTATCACACCTGAGGAGAAGAGCAGGTCTGTCTTAATGGACCACTCTCAGTGGGCCATCTATTGATTATCTTCTCTACTGAATTAATTCCTAGTAATCGCCTAGTGAGCAGTCATTAAAGGAAGTGTTTGCTGCAAGTGCTGGGGTTGGTGGGAGGTGATGGGCCTTTCATACACCAGCCACTTTTGGTCCTCTTGCTGTGCTCTGAGCCCCTGTAGTTAATGATCAAAGGCCTTGAGACCAAACCGGTGCCTTCACTATAGAAAGGCTTTGTTTATTGGGACCACGGAACAGAGCAGACAAATCAATTCCTTTCTGAAGAGTTGATTCCAACTGAGCCAACTGTACTTTAGACCCTTAAAATCCCCTTAAGACCCTTTCTGGTGTCGAAACAAGACTGGTCTACTGGAGAAAGTCTAGCCCCAGAGGTCAGTGCTTTGGGAGTTTCTACCATGTGCTGGGTGCTGTGTTGCCTCATTTTGCTGAATTTAATCCAGTCATTGACTTGGTCTCTCATTCATGAAGCTGACAGCAAAGTACATATTATTGGCTGAATTTTTGAATGAAGTACCTGAGGTTCTGAAAGGTAGTTGTGGGGGAGGGGAAATTCCCCCTCTTTTCCCTCTGAGTTCTTCTGGCTGGTCTAATATTCAAATTGACATGAGACAGATTGTTAGAAAAAACGTAACCAAATGTATTACTTATGTCAATATGAGTGTTCTTTAAGAATACAAGGCCTGAGGACAAATCACAAATTGGGCAGTTGAGGCTTATATGCCATCTTGAGCTAAAGAGAAAGGTGAGGTTATGGTTTAGGACTTCAAAGGAGAGGAAGGAAATTCACATGGAGATGGAAAAGTAAATGTTTGGTAAGTAAATGTTTGCTGGCCGATCCTGAACAATGGGACACAGAGAAGACTTTAATCAAGCAGGTCTCACTCAGGTTCCTCTTTGTCACACACACAGTGCCCAGCAGAAGTAACACCTGCTTGAGTGTGGTTGGTAGAGTAATTAATATGGGCTTAATAACTTATAGTTTTAATGTGAACATTTCATGTGAAATGAAGGTGTGCTTGAGTGTGATGTTATTATGTTACAGAATTACAAGATTATGACTTTGTAATAAAAGCATTTATAACAAAACAGGGGCATTATTTGTGCTGGGCCCTATAGTTTATGTAAAACTATACGGTTGACTCTTGAACAACTGGGGAGGTTAAGGGCACCAACCCCCCATGCAGTCAAAAATCTGTGTGTAATTTTCAACTCCCCAAAAGTTAACTAATAGCCTACTTTTGACCAGAAGCCTTACTAATAACATAAACTGTTGGAGAACACATATTTTATCTGTTATTTGTGCTATATGATGTATTCTTATAATAAAGTTAAGCCAGACAAGATGAATAAAGAAAAATGTTATTAAGAAAACCATAAGAAAGAGAAAATACATTCACTGCAAAAAATCTGCATGTGATTGGACCAGTGCAATTCAGACCTGTGCTGTTCAAGCGTCAGCTTTAGTAATTTCCTGTGTGAGCGCTCTCTTTCTGGAGCAGATCCTCCACCTAGAGTCTTTTAAAAGTAGCTGGGGGAAGGTCAAAGTGTCTTCCTGAATTTTTTTATGTTCCTTAAAAATAATCAGCTTAAGATAATCAATATCCAAAAAGACTTATTTTGGGGTTGCAAACTTCTACTCCCACTCATTATGGGTGTATTTGAAGCAAACAGTAGAGGGTGGGCAGTAGCTCTGGTTCTAGGCAGGAAGCATCGAGGAAAATAGCTCACTGACCCCAGGGCTGGGAAGACGGACCCAAAGCTGTGCTTCTGCTCCCGCCGGGTAGAGGAAGGAGGTGCCTGAAGACCCAACACCTCCCAGGTAAAACTCCATTCTCTCGTTCTTTTACAAATCCCATTCAGGGGTCACTTACAGCACTAGGCAGACCCTCTGTCACAGGCACCCCATTACAAATGATCTGTCTCCTCTACCTCAACCCTCAGGCAATACCCAATCACTACTGCACAGGTATGTTTGCAAAGCGGAAAAGTGAAGGTCTGGCTGGTCAGCTCTTTTCAAACTGTAGGTAGACAGGCCTTGTGGGTGTTTTGGGATAGTGCGACTATGCAGAAACTCTATTCTCTAATACGACCCTTCACCCTTCGGTCTTCTTGATTCAAACTGGCCTTGTCTAGTCTACTGGCGCCAGGACCCAACTAACTGCCTTTCATTTCCTTTCATCTTTGAAGCCCTTAGGACATCAGGTTCTGGTCAGTGTCTAACAGCCTTAGAACAAAGCCTCAGATCTGTTGATCAAGGACTCAAGAGTTCTGGATGAAGCTAAAGATAACATTTTGACCTCAGTTGTTATTCAGTCCTAGGCCTGTGAAAAAGAACCCTACCAATCAAACTCTCAGGCAACTAGACAGAATGGTGCCACAGCCGACACCTCGACATGATACAATAGACTAGTCTTGCTCCAAGCAAACAGTAGAGCCCACGGCCCCAACTCCCTTAATCACCATGATTAACATTCTTTTTTTCCTGTATATAATCTGTTTCTGTGCGGGCCATCATGGAGCCAGGTCTTTGAGCACGAGCTCAGCTGTGACTCCAGATGTGGTGTCATTCTCTTCATTATTAAACTTTTACTTTCTTAGCTGTAAACTCCTGTTTGCATTTGATTGGGCTTTGATGTGTGCGGGCAAGCCCTTTAGCTCTGCAACAATAACTGTCTGCCTCTATGTCTGCAGCCTCTCCGAAATCTGTTGTGGACACAGGTGTGTGACAGAGACAGGGCTAGATGTCTGTTCTTGTTAGGCACCTGATAAAATCCCGTCTGACCAAGTTGGAGAATGTCCTTTATTAGACGTCCTTTCCAATAAACAAAATCTCCAGGTGACAGTCAAGGATCTTTAAACTTTTTGTCTTCTGAAAGCTCCTGTGAAAGGACACAGTTACCAGCTTGGCATTTTCTTGAAGGGACTCTATCCAACCTTGGCAATAGTGTAAAATGCCTCCTTTCAATAATGTCAGTTCAAAAGTCTCTTCATCTAATTTATGTCCAGCTTCAATGCATTATGATGCATGAAGGAATAAAAAGGGGGGTTATGCCAGGGAGCCTGGAAGAACCAAGCAGCTCAGTTTTGGGGTTCCTCATAGCCCTGACTATTTGTGGAATTTACAACCGCTGTGTACCCATGTAATATAGCCTAAAACTTTTTCATCACTTATTTTGCAATGTTACGCATATAAATCAATGTAAACCCAAATCTTCCAGAGGCTCTTCTGAAACAGTGCCAAGTTATTTCTGCATATACCAAGATTTTTACTCTTAAAACCTCAATTTCTATTAAACACTAAGAAGTCAAATTTATGAAGACATTTTATAACCTCACAGAAAATGTTTCATAGATGTTAAAGCCACTTATTAACATGGACTTATTTTTTGTAAAACCTGGGTAAACCATATTATCAAAAACTCAACAGACACGTCTGTTTTACTTAAACCAATAAACTCAAACTAACTCTTATTTACTAAAGATTAATATTAGCCACTTAAAAAAGCATTTGAGTTAGTCTCCACACTTCTGAGATCATTAGAATACCCAGTCTTTACAAGCACTTGCCATAATAAATTTTTACAGACTATCTGGAGGTCCAAAATTACCTCACATTTACAACATACGTATGTAGACACACGCTGAAAGACACAAACACTGGTATTTTAGTCATGAGAAAAACCCATTCATTTATTTTAAAAAAACAGTGGTGCAGTTAGCCAGGCAGGACCAGAGTGGCAGTGATAGTCCATGTACAGAAGGTCACCAGGGCAGAAAGCCTGGAATACCCAGCAACAGACAAAACTGGGGTTGGACCTTGCTCTCGGGGTGACTTTCCTGTAGCATATCACTGGTTCTTCCGTTTAAACTCCCTGACCTCTCATGTTGCTGGTTAGGCAGTTCCAACTCTCCTCTGTCCTTTCCTCCCCTGGCATATCACCAGCCATGTAGTGGAACTCCTTAGAGGAGGAACAAGGGGGGCTGGAGAATAGCCTCATAAGGCTCCCATACAAGTCCTTGCCTGACCACTCCCTTAAGCACTAAGGCATAGAGATAACATTTAGGCCTCAGCTCTGTTTCAGCTCCAGGCAAGGAAAGCAGCAAAACCAAACAAGCATTGTCAGCCTGACCTCGGGACCAGCTGCACTGACTAATGACCACCTTCCCTGCTGCTGACCAATCAGAAGAGACTAAAACCCTGAGGGAACACAGTGGGAGAGCTGATGAGTATTCCACTGAGACACCCTGCTGAGACCTCCACATGAGAACCCTCAAGGCAAAGGACCCAGCACTCCTTTTTTGCTTCTATAACTTGATTTCTGAGCCCACACAGCCCAGCTGGCTCACTTCTTCCACAGCTAATGTCTTCTACCTTTGTGACTTTCTAAATAAACTTTTGCTTGTATTCAAGTCTTGGCTTTGAGTTCGTTGTTAGCCAAAACGCAAGGATCAAGGTCTAACATCTGGTGCCGCCTACTGCTAAAAGTTGGATCCAAATTTTGTTTTGTAGCCATTAACAATTCGTTATCTGTCCTTGACAAAATGAGTTTCAGATGACCTCCCCTCTTTTGAAATAAGGACAGCCATTCCATAATACCTCAAAGAATTGGGCTGACATCTAAACAACGCTGTAGGTTGATCCATTTATCTAGGCCTTATTTTTGAAGCTTCCAGAGACCAATTAAATATATTTTCCATTCACTCTGCCTAATTTTATAGTGAACTTTTTTCACTTGTGTACACACAAAGTTAATTTAGAAGTATCAAAGAATCCTCATCTCAGCTATTGATGGGGTTTGTTGGCCTTGGGGGCACTATGTCACTTATTAATTTTAGTTTTCCCTTTCAGACCTTTAGAGTCTGAACCAGCTTCTAAGGATAAACAGCCTTTACAGGCACATCTCCAGATGAGATGAACGCACCGAATATCCCTATAGAAACATTTCCTGCCTGCCCCACAGGAAATTTCTGGACTCTTAACCACCTAAGAATGCCTGAGCAAGAGCCAGCGGAAGATCCTGGATGGCCCTGGATCCATGATGCTTCCCAAGGCACCAGGTCCTCTCTCCGGGTGAACCCATCCCAGAGTGCCCCGCCCTTCACAAAGAACTCTCCCCCTTCACAAAGAACTCTCCCCCTTCACAAAGAACTCTCCCCCTTCACAGAGAACTCTCCCTGGGGCTTCTCCGGAATCGGTTGAGTTAGCACACTGGATGCCTCGGGGCACTCTTCTCCACCATTCTGAATTGAGGGGGTTGTGACAACGATCATCACTTCCTCTGGCTCTTTAGTTTGTGGAAACAGTGCCCTTTCCCTTTCAGAGCTAAAGAGAGCTCAGTTTCCCATGTAACCAGCAAAGACGTGTAGATTCTCAGGAAGCCATACAATAAAAAAGCTGAAATTAAAAACAGCAACCCATTTTCCCCCCTTTCCCTAGGCTATCTCAATCCTTACCTCAAAGGTTTTCTAGGATGGGCTGAAATAAAGTCATGGACCTGCTACTCAGAGTAAGGAGCCTGGGATCCTGAGAGAAGTCTCAAGCACAACGGTTGGGGTGGTCAGTGATGCCGCAGACTGAGAAACAATTCACAAACAGAAGAAACTGCAGAAAGTGAAGTTTTTATTTTACTTTCTCAAGAGAGGGAAAGGGCCAGGTGCCGAGAGATGTCCTAGCACTGAGGACTTTTAGGGTTTATTGGATTACAATTGGATTTAAAAAGATCGTGTGTGGTGGGGGAGCTGCTGTGTGGGCCCTGGGCTGTCGGGGCGTAGTAACACAGGAGGCTTTGGCTGGTTTTGCATTAGCTGCAGCTTGTTCCAGTGTTATCTTCTGCCTGTGGCTGTAGAGAGCGGTTAGTTCTGTTCTTGCTTTCCAGGAAGTTCCAGTTCTGGGGACACAAGCTCAGAAGAGTACAATGGCAGTTGGGTCCAGGTCTGCAGAGCGGTCCAGGATGGGTGTCTTCAGAATCCTGACCACTACGCCAAGTAAATGTCAGCATAAGAAATGTCAAACCTGTAAAGAATTTTTATTAAGCTATTATTTGATTCAAACTGATGACAACTGCCAGGGAAGTAAGATTTCAAATGTTTTTGAAGAATACAATTTCTTTATGCATTTAAAATTAAGAGGGAAACATAAGGAAAATTATAGGAAGGTGGGAGAAGGCTAGGTGGAGATTGGATTATTGGATAGTCAACAAGCTTCTGCGCTCTCCTGAAGGTAGTAAGGCTTATTTCAAAGGTGTGTCAACTAATTCTCGGAAACAATGGACAGGGCTTGTTTTAAGACAAGGATAAATGTGTCTGAGGCATGACTACCCCCATGACCTGCTTAGTTAGCAATTTATGACCAGTTCACCCTGTGACGTTACTTTCTACAGCATCTCCCTCACCCCTTTTTTCTGTCTGCAGTGGGAATGGGACCTCTGTCTCTGACTCTCCTCTATGCATTTGTACCTAACTCAAAGGTCATGAATCTTAAGGGCTGTTGTGTCCTTGGGGGCAGCTAACACTGGACCAGAGACTCAGTCTGCCTGGGCCCTTGGCAAGATGCGCTCCTGACCCTGCTTGCTCCTCCTGTCACCCCAACATCACAGTCTCTCTCACTTTGTATGATAATCTTCACTCAAGGGGTTAAAAATTCATATCAACTTAGCAGCACTTTAAAAAATAAGGAAAACACTTAAACCTCAGAGTTAAGTCTTGTGAAGTGCCCCTCCCCCCACCCTGTGTGGGTCTCCACTCTATCTATCCCTAAGGTACCCAGATTTAGCCCCTGGCAGTAAGCTGCCTGGGCCACACCAGGGACAGTCCCAGCTGGGGCCGCTGCCAGTTCTGTCCAAGGTCTCAGTGGGAGGTGTGGGCAGGCTTTCACTTGCCTGAAAAACCACCACTCACTGCAGGTCACACAGTCTGTGCTTCACTGGTGGCATTTCCTTGCCCTGAGTGCAGAGGCTCCCGCCCTTGTGTTTCCCATCATGAATTTCTGGGACTTCCCAGGGGGTGCCCTACATTCACTTACAAAACAAGCCCAGTCTGACTTGTGTTTCTTCTTTTTTGTGAGCTCCATATAGCCTTGCAGGGAGGTGGGGAGGAGGAGGCGCAGGCCTGTGTCACTGCCTGACAGGAGGGTTTCAACTGGGTACAGCTCAGGTCAGGGACCCTGCAGAGATTTCACGGGAAACTGCTGCTTCAGATGCCAGTCACGCCCTTCTCTCCCTGGGACCCAGGCTCCCCGGGCAGAAATCAGTAAGGTCTGGGCTGGGGAAGAACCTGGGGCTGGACCTCATAAACACCGATTCTAAGAGTTCCCTTTTCTTTCTATTACTCAGGACTGAGTCATTTTTGTCCCTTGACTCACAGTCTTTTCCCTCTTGGGGAAAATCTCTGGTTTCAGACTGCTAGCATTGCCGAGCTGTCCACTGCCATCCTTCTGGCAAAATTGCAAAGGCAAAGGTTGGTGACAAAGGAAAGGAGTCTTTATTCAAAAGCTTCACGATTTTGGGATAACAGCTTTCCACATGCATTAGTCACTTAGGCCTATCAATTAAGGGTAAACTCTTTAACGCTTAAGTTTTCCTATCATTCCCTCTGTTAGTTTTTAATCACCTTATTTCTATAGAGCTAGTTTACAAACTAAAACAACATAAGATATAATAGTTACACAGTTTTGGAAGAATGGCAGGCTTCTGGCTCGTAGCCCATCCCCTCTAGAACACCCAAAGGAGAGTAACCCTGCCACCCTCTGCCAGGCCAGCCTGATCCCAGGCTCTGCCCTGAGTTCCTTCCCATCTAAAATACCGTCCATTGGGAAATGCAGGCAGCTGCAGCACAATCATCAGTTATCCTTGAGGAAGAAGAGCCTGAGAGCCAGAGCCAGCCCATCGATGGCTGTCCAAGATCCTGAGAGTGCTTTTTTTTATTTCAAATCTTCTTGCCCATAATTCCCTCTGCTCTGGAGGCACTCAGCTTCTCAGCCAATCCCATCCCGGGCTATTTGCCATGGCCTTGGGCACTGCCCCCCATGGCCCCTCCCTACTCCTTCCCAGTGGTCTGATCAGATCTCTCTGTCTGTACAGACCCCGTTACCCTCCTAGGGACCCTCTGGTGATACCCTCTTGTGTGTCACAGATTCCAGATCGATCGCAGCTGTGCTGGGCAAGTACCCAGACACACCCTTGGAATTGCCCTGTGGTTGAGAAAGTTTGTCAGCCCAACAGTTCACTGAGACTGTGTCTTTATAACCCTGAGAGAATGGATGACTGAAAAGTTTACTCAAAGAATAAATTAGCCCTGGAGAGGCGGCTCAGTTGGTTGGAGCGTCATTCAATGCATCAAAGGGTTTGGGTTCCATTCCCCGTCTGGGAACACACCCGGGTTCCAGGTGCAGTTCCTGGTTGGAGAGCGTATCGGAGGCGCCCACTCAGTGTTTCTCTCTTTCCCATCAGTCTTTCCCTCTCTCGGTTTCTCTCCCTCTCCCCCCGTACCCCCCTTCCCCGCTTCCTCTCTGTAAAATCAATGAACATATTCTTGGGTGAGGATTTAAAATAAATAAAATTAAAAGAAGAATTGTTTTTAAAGGAAGAAGGAACTAGATGAAGAAGACTTAATGCCAGCTTCATCCTTCCAGTTGCTGATGACCGAAACCTCCCCGCCTCCACCCCTCATTCCACTGGTCAGCAAATCCTGCAAGCTCTGCCGACAAAGCACGTTCGCAGCGAGCATTCGCTGTACCTCTGCCCGTCCACCCTACTGCAGCACACCATGCCTCTTTCAACCCCTTCCGACTGCTCCTCCCTTTTCTCACCTGTGCTACTCCCTGGTCTAATCCATGCAGCAAAGTGACACTGCGGCAACTAAATCAGATCATGTTACGCCTCTGCTTAAAACTCTCCTTCAAATGGCTTTCTGCCGTATGGGGTCAAATGAAACCAAAGCCCTTCCATTGGCTTCAAGGCCCTACAAGTCCTGGTCCCCTGGAATCCCTCTGGACAACACCTGCTCCCCTCCGACTCGCTCCTCTCCAGCCAACTGGGCCCTTGTTCTTGCCACTTCCTTTTGCTGGAAAGCTCTTCCCAGAAATACATGCAGGACTTCCTGCCTGTTGAACTTTACTCAAACTGAGGCAGGATAGTAAGAAGCTAGGAAAATTCCTGGGCAAGTGAAATAGGGGAATTGAGATAAGAAAATTAAACAAAGCCAAACAGTTAAATAACTTCTTGCTGACTGGTGAATCGTAAGAACTTATCTCCTCTAACTAAGGACACTTGAGAGCAAATGGTTCCTGCCTCTCCTCCCTAACCAGAGAATACAGCGTAAATCTCCCTGGTTTGGTAGATAGAGAACAGAGACCCAGTTAATGCCATTTGTGCCAGCTAATCCCAAGGAGAGGAACAAATAACAAAAATCCCATTAAAAGCCGCACCGACCCAAGATAAAAATAAGACAGTGCAGCAGACCACAGAATCCCTCTGCTCCCGTGTGCTCATTTGGACATGTCAGCGTATCACAAATGCACCTGGAAATCTGATAAATATCCTGCTGAAACCCTTCCCTGAGACTCCCACCCACAGAAAAAAGTTAAAAGGCCTTGAGGACCAAGACTCTGGGCGGGTTCTCTAGAGCTCACCTATACCCCTTGCTGGGCACGACCATTTTATTTTCTCTTAAACTCTAAGGCTCCCCAGAAGACTTGCAGCCAGGGCATTAGTGGTTGGCGGCAGCCCGGTCTGTGCTTTCTCCCTGATCCTGTCTCCCTTCTGTCTCTGTGACCTTCACTTTCCAGGGAGCTAACAGCAGCCCTGCCTTGCCTTTTCCTCTCCTATAACTTTGCTACAGGACCAGAGCAGAGCACTGCCCAGGCTGTCTCCTGCTACTTCTACCCTAAGTCCTTCCTTTCTTTAATTGTCCCAGCCTTAATAAGCATACTCTAAGATCACCTGGACTCACTCTGTGACATCTTTCCTGCACAGTCAAGAACCCACACACTACAGGCCGGCCTGAGGCAGAACATCTCCTGGCTGGCGGCCGTCTGGTAACAAAATGACTAATTGTTCAATTACTTTGCATTGAATTATAAATCTCAGTATTTTACTTTAAGACTTTGTTTCTCATTAATTAGTTAAACCTAGATGTAAAAGATGGGGAAATTGCCTGAAATCCACACAGGCA